CCCCTGCCCTGCTTTACTTCTTCCTTTGAGGAAATCTTGATAATTACCCTGAAATATTTTGAGAAAATGTAGAGAAATACTGCATTCAGACTCTGAGCTTCTGTTTAAACAACCTCACATTTTGGAGTCAGTCAGCTCTTGAGCTCAGTTACCCTCCTACTTGGTGCTACAAGGAGTTGAATTAACATTTTGGATTTGAGTCCAATGGGAAAAGTGCTCTTTGGATGTGAAATCGTTCCAGATCACTGAATTTCACATGGTGCCTTCCCAAGTGCCACAGGGTCAGAGACTGGAGATCCAGCCCTGGTGCTGGAGCTCGATCCAGGTGCTGCTTTCTCCTCGTGTAGGTGCTGGACAGTATTTACCCTGTCAGCTGGATGCTTGACCTCATTCCTGGTCTCATGAGGCATGTGTGTTCGGGCTGTTGCTGCAGCTGAGCGTTGAACTAGGGCTGCTAAGGTTTGTAAGGTTTGAAGTTCCCCTCCTTCCCGCCTGCGGCAGCAGGTACGGTGTCTGGCTGCCCTCCTTGAAGCTCATGCTGCGCGTCTCTTCGGGCACTCCTTGCTGGCCTCCTCTTATCGAGGGTCTCGGACACTCTGCTGCAGGCCTGATGCGGCTCTGGACGGAGTTGTTCAGGCAACCAGCCAGCAGAGTTGGGCCAAAGTGCTTTAATGAAGGTTGGAGGAAATACGATGTATGCTGTAGAAATCCTGGGCTGAAGGGAACTTCAGGAAATCATGTCGTCTGTGAATCAGGGACAGTGGTGCTGTGCGGTCACATGTACCAAAGGTCATTCAGAATCGGGAATAAAAGTTGTGTTCCCTTTATTGCTCTCTGTTGCTTTTGCACTACACCCCTCAAAATCAACAGCTGGGTGAGAAAGTACCCAAGCAGCGGCAGGGACCCTCAGGTGGTGTGGGAGGACTGGGCAGCTCCGTGGCTGGTGAGGTTGCCTTACCGGGGGGCCCTTTTCCCCTTGTTCCACTTGTATTTAATAGAGCTTCTTCTTGAAGGTAATTGGGGGTTTGAGTGTAACCTGGTAATTCCAGGTTGCAGTACACATGCTTTTCTATCAAATTTCCTAAATATACACTCCGACTTCAGCATTTAGGTCAAGCCTAAGCTTCTCCTGTGGTCAGGCTCTTCCAGGATGTTTCTTAGAGCTTCCTCTGAATTACCTGATATTGGCCACTATGTAAGACAGGATACCAGACTGTATGCATTGTTTCTCTGATCCCTTCTTGATGAAGTAAGGGTTTATTTTCCAAATATTTGTATATTACTATGAAGAAGTCCTAGCTCTAAGCAGGCTGTTGGTGCACCATTTTTTGCTGCAACTCCTTGGAGGCTGTCAGGAATGGGAGCCGCTGAGCTTCATGGACAGCGGGTTTGGAGGTACTTGGTTAAGGCTGTGAGATGTCTAGATGCCAGGGCCACTGGCGCCACAGGACTTCTGTAAATAAATTTCATTTTGCTATGTTCACACAATTATAGCCGGAGACCTGGATCGCATTTAATGAGGTTTATTTTGCTAGTCGGGCCACACAGATTTAATTTACTTTGTCTAGTGTTCTAAAAACATATAGGAATGTACGCACATCAAAGCTAAGTTTAAGACCTTGAATAAAATCCACAGCAGTGAAGAAGTTCCCTGACGGGTTTGTATCAGTGTAAAGTCCATTGAGCCAAGATTTACACTTCATAGTATAAAATACAGGGTATTTTAACCTAAGAAGCCTGCCCTGCCTTGCATGGGTGGTTGGTTGTGACCAGCTGCAGTCCTGCAGCTGCTGTTTGTCCCTCGGCCATTGGGTGTCCTGGGTCAGTGCTTGGAGAACTGGGAGCGGGGGACACCTGGCTCACGAGGTTTCCCTGTCTCCTGCACGCTGGCTCTAGTTCAGGAGGCGATCCTGAAATGCACAGTTTTTTCCCAGGCTGCTGTTAGTCAGGGCTGGTCTCTGGGCTTGTCCTGACCTCCCTGGAAGTGAATGGTGGCCTTGTCCTGGGGCTGTCACAGGGCCACGGCGGGCTCCTTGATAAAATGCTCAATAGCTCTTTGCCATTTTAAAAACAGAGAAGGAAGAATTGAAAATGTTTTGTTGTGGATTGGTTTCTTCTGCTACACAATAGAGCGCAGTGATGTGTTTACAATCGGAGACAAGCAGGGAGGGCTTTGGGAAGGTGGTGTAGAAGTAAGCATCGCTCGGGGTGCTGAGTCCATCCCTGCGGGCTTGCGCGAGGGCAAGGGGGGACTGATCCTGCACCTACACCACATCCCTCCAAGGAGCGGGCGCGGGCTGCCGGCCGGGTCCTGCCACAGCTCTTGGAGATCCATTAATCTTGTTCAGCTCAGTCATGTTTGCCCTTGGCAGAAAGGCCTTGCCATTTGTGGGTTTGGACCTTGGGAGGGGGAAGTGACTAGATCAGGCAGTTTCTCTGCACGTGGTGCTGGGACGGGGGAGAAGGAGGTTGGTCGGGTGGCATCTTGCTTTTCGTCTGCTGCTGCGATCGTGGCATCCCCGGAGACGTCGGGGTCGCTGCAAATGGTGGAGGAGCCAGGAGTCGCCTCGGCAGCTTGGTCTCAAGGGCTTAATGTGGGGGCAGCACGTGGTTTGTATTTAAATAGTCTGTGCAGGAGTGAAAGGGCAATGAGTGGAAGGTGCAGCATGGCTGGGACACAGGATGGATCTCCAGGGGCGCAGGTCTTGCCGTGGGCTCGGGGCATGACGTGGGCCGGGCCGTGTTACCCCTAGGACCTCCACTTCCCTCTCAGAAAGACAGGCGGTTAGTCACCAGCCTGGTTAGAGGCCTGTGGA